TTGGGTTCTGGAAAACACAGAAGAACCATTATCACTCTATGGGAAATTCGCTCCTGACCTCTCCGTCCCAGATGGACTCAGCCAAACAGCATCAGCAGCTGCGATTACTATTACTTCTATGTCCTATTTGGGTGAATTTTGTTTCAAATTGATTCCTGGAGGCTTTGGGGGACATTGGGGAGACTTCAAGAGCCACCCTTTGGGGTCCCAAGGGCCACATTTTGGGGCTTCGAGGGTCTCCTTCGGTCCACGATTTGCAGACTTCAAGGGTCTCCTTTGGCCCAGTTCATAGCCTAACCAAATTCAGATTAAATCAATAAATGAAACAAATTCAGACTTAATCAATGAATGAAACCCAATTGCCCAACTTGGGTCCTATTATGTTGGAAGCAAGGCAAGATATTAAAGAAATGGATAACCAAGCAATATTGGCCAAAACCTTTATGACAGGTCATTATCATCAACACACAGAAATTTTTGCATTCCTTTAGGAAAGCCCTGATGAATTCCCTCTACTCCAAGAATTGGGAACTCAGAGCTCAGAGAAGTTACTTTTTTTTTTGGACTACAGCTCCTAGAATCCTTTTTTTAAAGAGTATTTTTTAAAAGAGTATTTGAAGAGTGCTGGGAGTTGATATCCAAAAATGGGATTGTTGGAGTGTGCGTGTGAGTATTTATGATGTGTTTGTCAATTTATGGCAGCCTCATGGATTTTATACTTTTCTTAGGCAAGAAATCCTCAGAGGTGGTCTTGCCAGTTCCTGCCTCTCAAATAGAGCCTACAACACCTGGGATTCGTTGGCGGTCTCCCATCCAACTACTAACCAGGGTTGATCCTGCTTAGCTTCCTTAAGCAGAAATCAGTTTGAACCTCTCAATGTGTGGAAATCAATCTGAATTTTGCCGGTCCTGGGGAAAAGCAAGTCTCCAGTAGCAATGATGTGACCGAAAAAGTGGGTGGAAAACTTTACCAATCTTTTTATTGGTTGGACTTATTGGCGGTCTCCCACCCAGGTACTAACTGGGACTGACCCTGCTTAGCTACCAAAATCAGACAGGATCTGATGCCTTTAGGGTAAATATGGGATTATGGGAGCTGATTTCCAACAGTATCTGGAGCTATTAAATTTTTCCACCCTTTACTCCTACCCCACTTTGAGGAAAAGATGCCATCTTAATGGAACTGACCTCTGTCCAGTTGAAAATGGATCTGCCGAGGGTTTTCTAACTCCGCAAAGGAGGAGATGCCCCCATTGTCCTTTTTCGCCCATTTCAGAAGCTCCTCGCTGGAGGAAGACAGGTTGGTTTGCTGGATTTCGACGTTGGATCCTTGAACCATGCATCCAGTCGCCTATCAAAGAAACAGAGGAATCAAAACAGGAACAGAAGAATGGCAACATGGAAAGTCCCAGTTTCTCATTCTTCCTCCCACTTTCCCCCTTTTGTCCTCCGTTTACTTCTTTTGCTGCAAGCTGAGTGCCAAATGTGGCCAGATGCTGTTAAACTGACTGCAAAATTGCTTTTCACACTTTGCACCCAGCTTGCAGCAATTGAAGCAAACAGAGGAAAGCGGGAGGAAGAAAGAGAAACTGGGACTTTTGAAAAGCAGCTGAAAAAGTGGGAAGGTGGAGGATTAATCCGGATTATCCCCGCCAAATTGGACAGTTGGAGGCGGGGATGTCACTGCTTTGCAATGATGTCCAGCCAGGGACACGAGGCAGAGTTTAAAGGACTTGCGTATCCAAGAAGGAAACAGGAAAGCACTGCTGGCACGACAAGGGAAGAACTAAGTCACATAGCAGCTTCTATCAGCTACACTTTGGAGCATTTATTTTTATACTTTCGGCTCCACAAATTATGGAAAAGGGAGTTTTTTGCCCTCCCCTCTGGCCCCATGGTCACCTCTGCAATGGGAATAAAGGAATAAAAGAAAAAGAGAGGCCATACAGAACCAGAAGGCTAATCTTCTCCCAGGATCAAAGCGATTTTACAACCTATTGTTGTCTGCTGAGGAATCTGAAAAAAGCCAGGCGTAGTAACAATAGATCTAACTCCTTTGAAAGACTGGCTGCAAACCTCCAACCTTTCCAAGGAGCCACTTGTGTCAGATTTTGCAATTCCCATTACAAATTTGACCATACTCTTCATAACAGTGTATGTGCCTTCAAGTTCCCAGTTGACATATGTCAACCCCACGAAGTGTGGATTTTGGAAAAGAGCTTGTCTTGGTTCGCTTACGAGCCTGAAAACCGCAAAACAAGACAAGCTGAATCTGATTTTCTTCCATCTCTAGTTAAAACGGTGCCAGATTTCTCCCTCTCTTGTGTTGTTGCTTGCTTTCAAGTCATTTCCAGCTTATGACAACCCTTAGATAAATCTTCGTTGTTGTTGTGTGCCTTCAAGTCATTTCCGACTTATGGCGACCCTAAGAATTTTCTTGGCAAGATTTGTTCAGAGGAGGGTTTGCCACACTGCCTTCCCCTGAGGTTGAGAGAGTGTGACTTGCCCAAGGTCACCCAGTGGCTTTCATGGCCGAGCTGGGAATCGAACCCTGGTCTCCAGAGTCCTAGTCCCAGCACTCAAACCACTATTCCACGCTGGCAGCTTAGAAGTTATCAATTGGTGAATGGCCAATCAATCAATTTGGCTGATCAATCGATCAATCAATCAATTAGCTCTACTGATATGTTTCAAGGCACAGCTCTGGCTCTGAGATTCCTCTCCGTTGCTGGCTCTACCAAACCAACCACTGGATTTTCTTTGCAAGATTTGTTCAGAGGGGGTTTGCCTTTGTGTCGCTTCCTTCCAAGGTGGGTTGGCATGGCCAAGCGGAGATCTGAACCCAGGTCTCCGGTGCTCAAACTGCTCTACCATGTTGGCAAACCTCCCAAATATTCCTGCATTTTTTGGTCAAAGGTTTCTCCATTCCCACTTTGCTCTCTTTCTCCTCCCTTTTCCAAAACCCCTTGTTTTTCATGCTTTCGGGTTTTCCCCGAAGGAAGGATTTGGAAGGAAGGCTGAATCAGTTTGGCAGAACCGGGGGGTTTTCCAAGGCCTGGCGGCTCATGCCCATCCTCCTCCTCGCCGCCCATAGGCCCCCCTTTCCTTGCCAACCAACGCAACCAGGGATGGGGATGTGTGACTCATGGGTCATCCTGGCCACCAAAATCATCCCTTGCCCTCTTGACCCTTCTCCGGCCAGAGAATGGAGAGTCCATGCCAGCGAGGGCATCCGGCACAAATCTGTGGTGCCACGCTCAATCTGATAGTGCCCTCATCCCAGCTCCATTGTCGGACTTTTTATTATTATTATTATTATTATTATTATTATTATTATTATTATTATTAGGCACAAATAGGAAAAGTATTTTTATTTTGTTACAAAGCTTACACACTCGGCTGAGCAAGTCTGGAGCCAAGCGCTGGGCCTGACCTTACTCCAAACAGAGGAAATGGGAGATTTTCCTCCTCCAGTTTTGTGCGTCACCAAAGACTAGCCGGTCGCTTAGATCCGCAGCCAAAGGAAACGGACCTGAAAGCAAGCCGCATGTTGCAGGATGATGGGTTATGTGCTATCAAAGGGGATAGTGGGCTCTCTTGCCTTGGCATAGAGGCTGGATAGAGCCCTTTCAAGGATGGCGTAGCAATGTATTTCCTCCATGGGCAGAGGATGGGGCTTGTAGTCTTATACGTTCATGGTTAAACTGTGGAACTCATTGCTACAGGATGCAATGGTGTCTGGCAACTTGGAGGGTTTTAGAAAAAGGAGACTGGGAACATGCATGGAGGGCCAAGTGGGGATTCGAACCTTGATCTTACAGAGTCTCCTAGTCAACACTCAAATTGTGATTGCATGCTGGTTATGAGGGTTTTTGGGGGAAAGTTTTATTCAAAGGAGGGCTACCTTTGCCTTCCTCTTAGCCTGAGACATTTAGATTCATTTTAGTCCATCGGCAGGCAAAGACATTTTTATTCAGACAGGCTTTTAAAACGGAAAGTCTTTCAAAGAACAAGATGGGAGTGTTGCACTGTTTTGTAGTGGACTGTTTTTAAGTGTTTTAAAGTGCTTTAATCTTTTTTACACTGTATTTTTAATGAGTGATCTGTTTTGATATTGCAATAGTTTAATTCTATTTTAATGCTCTCTTTTGCATGTTTTTTTAATTGGACTGTTCTTTTAAATTGTATGCCGCTCTGAGTCCCAATTTTTGGAAGAAAGTGGGATAATAATGATAATGATAATGATAATAATAATAATAATAATAATAATAATAATGACATTATGACTTGCCCAAAGTCATCCATTGGGTTTCTATGGCTGGAAAACACACAACAGGAGGGCTTCCCCGAAAACACAAAAAATAGCTAGGGAACAATATCATAACAATCTATTAAATTCTCCCAAAGGAACGAAACCACAACTAAACGATTATCAACAACGACCATATTATTATGTAAATAACCACATTGTAGTAATACTACAAAACACCGGCTACATAATACAAAGTGCCGTAGAGAACTATATACTCCAAATAAAATATATGGATGCAATAAAGCATACTAAAGACAATTATGACATGCGTCAACAACACCGAAGGTGAGAACAAAACCTATACCGTTGTTGTGGACATTATTATATCCTGGAGATAAGTAACTGTTCCTATAGTAAATTATACAATGAAATCAGATCCTAGTCCAATGGTCAATCCATTACACCATACTGGCCCCATAATGTAATATAACCCTAGTGCAGCCCCAAGAAATTGCCACAAATAGTCCCTAAAAGAAAGGAACGTAGAGGAGACAACAACCAGCAAAACCCAAGGAATTATAGCATGAGAACTCACACATTTTTTAGACCAAAAAAGCCCTTAGAGATCTCATTTCCCTCCCTTGCATGCCCCCAAATAATCAACCTCTCCATTTAGCTCTGAAGTTTATTATCATCTTGATGGAGATGGAGACTGGGACTGGAATTTGGGAGATTTCATCCAGCTGTGAAATGAATGAGCAAGAATCCCTCCGGAGTCAAGTTCCCAGTTATTCCAGATGTTTCAAGCTGTGAACTGCCAGGGTCCAGACAAGAAGAGACGCAAGGAATGACAGATTTAAAAGGATGAGAGATGGGGAAAGAAAGAAAGAAAGAAAGAAAGAAAGAAAGAAAGAAAGAAAGAAAGAAAGAAAAGAGCTGCTCAAATTTTCTATATAGAAGCTTGTCATTCCAAGCTTAGGCTGCATCTCCGCAGCAGAGTTAATGCATCCTCACTGTCAGGAGACCCGTTTTTCAACTGGGAGGTGGAAAATGGAGAATATTCTTCCATGCCTAGTGATGGTGGTGACCTTGGGCAAGTCACACTCTCTCAGTCTCAGAGAATGGCCATGGCAAACCCGCTCTGAAGAAACCTGCCAAGAAAACCCTATGATTGGTTTGCCTTAGGGTCACTATAAGTTGGAAACAACCTGAAGGTGCACAACAACAACAACTAGTGATGGTCTTGAAGACCACAGATGGTCTTCAAGACCATGGTCAGTCTTCAAGACAGCCACGCTCCATCCTCCAGCACCTTCCCATCATTTCTCAGTGGTTTCATCCCACCATCTTCCATCTCAGAGGATGGCCAAGGCAAACCCACTCTGAAGAAACTTGCCAAGAAAACCCAATGATTGGTTTGCCTTAGGGTCACTATAAGTTGGAAACAACAACAACTAGTGGTGGTCTTCAGACCATGGATGGTCTGCAAGGCAGCCACGCTCCATCCTTGGACACCTTTCCATCATTTCTTAGTGGCCTCATCCTACTTCCATCTTCCATCTCAGAGGATGGCCATGGCAAACCCGTTCTGAAGAAACTTGCCAAGAAAACCCTATGATTAGTTTGCCTTAGGGTCACCATAAGTTGGAAACAACTTGAAGGTGCACAACAACAACAACAACTAGTGATGGTCTTCAAGACCATAGATGGTCTTCAAGGCAGCCACGCTCCATCCTTAAACATCTTCCCATCATTTCTTAATGGTCTTATGCTACTTCCATTTTCCATCTCAGAGGATGGCCATGGCAAACCTGCTCTGAGGAAACTTGCCAAGAAAACCCTATGATTAGTTTGCCTTAGGGTCACTATAAGCTGGAAACAACTTGAAGGTGCACAACAACAACAGCAACTAATGATGATCTTGAAGACCATGGGCGATCTTCAAGGCAGCCACGCTCCATCCTCCAATACATCTCAGTGGCCTCACCCCACCATCTTCCGCCTGAAGCGGCTGCCTCACTTGGCCAGTGAGTTGATGTACATTACACTCAATTCTGCTCACCGATCCTCAGGCCAGGCCTGGTACTCACAGCGATGAAGGTAAGATGGCGATCCTCTGTATTCACCATCAAGTGGACATATGCATTGGAGCTCACCACAAACATGGACTTTCGGTTTGCTTTCCCTGCCGATGCGTTCACGTTGATCTGGAGACTGAATAACTGGAAGGGAAAGAGACAGACAAAGAGGGTTGTCAAGATTCCCAAAACAAAGAGAAGAGATTTAGGTCAATGGGGCAAGACACGGGGGAAACGTTTGAAGGTACAGATACCAAAGTTGGATCTACACTGTATAAATAATGCAGTTTGACATCACTTTTAACTACCATGGCTCCATCATCCTACAGAATCCTGGGATTTGTAGTTTTTCTCAGGCACCGGCGCTCTTTGGCGGAGAAGGCTAGAGACTGTGCAAAAGTACAAATCCCAGGATGCCATAGGATGGAGGGACAGCACTTAAGTTGGTGTCAAACTGCATTATTTCTACAGTGTAGATGCACCTCAATAGGGGAAAAGAGGGGATCGGTGTGAAAAGGGATCCTGTTGCGTGCCCCTTTGAGACTAACCAAAAGAAAGACGCTGGTAGCATGAGCTTTCCTAGATTTCAGTGTAATACATGGGGGGGGGGGGAAAGAGAGGTGATTGATTGATTGATAATAATAATTGATTTATTGATGAATTATTTTATATTTTTATATTTTAAGGGTGGGTAGGATTGTGGGATATGGTATGTATATTTTAATGTTGTAAGCCGCCCCGGTTGCATTACGCAGAGGGGTGGGATAATTAATAATAATAATAATAATAATAATAATAATAATAATAATAAATAGAATTAACATCCTGTCTTTTCCCTAGGGCAGGATTCAAAGTGGTGAGGACATCTGGTCACCCTATCTCTCTTGCATAGGGGCACCGCAAGTCAGAATCAAACTTGACGGCAATGAAAAATAACAACATTATTAACAATGTTGAGGACAATGTTATTAATATAATAACAGCCATCCGCAGATAGGGTTCAGCACTTTGGATACGTCATTGAGAGCCCAGGCTCCAACCCAGAATGGATTCAGACAGACTCCATCCCCGCCGCTGTGGGATCCACCAGCAGCCACTGGAATGGGATCACTTTGTCTTTGTGCCCAAAGATGGATGGCACGGTGCCCTCGGCCTCGTGAGACCAAAAGCCCGTCTCTCCTTGTTTTCGACGACTCAAACAATTCTTCCCGAATTTTCCGGGGAGTGGGAAGAAAACAAACATGTGGCGAAACCCAAAGGCATGATACGAGA